GCATGTGAAGTATTGTTCCTTCAGAGAGATTTAATTCAATGGACAAATAAAGCTGATTAAATTTTCGTCGCACTGTGTTAATTGTTATAAAATAGATTAATGAATTCGAGATCCGAAAAGAAGATTAATGGTATATTGGTTTTCTAAAATTAATGTTATTAAATAATGTTATTAAGTTTGAGAAATTATTTATTGAAGAGAGGTAGAGTAATAAAAGAATGTAGATAAAAATTAAAACTGATAAAATTATTTCTTACTTCCCGTGTAAACGTATAGAAATAAAAATAGAATTAGTAGTGAAATCTTCGTTTCAAATGGATTACGAAAGAAGAATTTGCCATGAATCACATATATTGAATGAAATTTATAATAAAAATCCGAACAAATTAGAATATTTGAAACGTATCTTAAAAAAGAGTTCAAATATGAAAAAATGGAGCATAAAATATTGGAAATATTAACTCAGCAATTGGAAAATACGATTTAATCGATGAATTCTTTCGAAAGAAAAAAGAGTTAAAAAAATTGTAGAATTTTATAATTTTGAAACAATTGAATTATTTAATAATTTAACAAAAATGAATAGAAACGAGCTGAAATTATTTCGACTAAATAGCTATATGTCCAAGATATTATCGTTGCTTTTAATTTCGAATAATTTTCAAAAAATGACAAGAGAAATCGTAAATAGAATTAACGAGAAACTAAATATTTTTTTCCTCGAGTAAAAGCTAAAGAATACACGATATTACGATTCAAAAAATTTTTATATCGCATTATTGCGAATTTTCATTCCATTTTCTCTTTTTAAACATTTAATTCTTAAAATAATTTTCTATCGAGAATGAATTTACATAGAAAATACATGCATTCTGTTCAAGCAGAATAAATTCACGCAAGTTTTTTTTTCCATCATCGAAACATAACGAAAAAAAAAAAAAAAAAAAAAAATGAATACTGTAGTTCTGAAAACTCGTATTGCGTAACTCGATCGGTGAACACAGGCCCCGATGACGCGTGCACTTTTGCAAGTATTTTTATTTTCACGATACACAAGTCTGCGAGCAAATTTTTCCTTGACTCGAATGCTCGTTTAGAAAAATTCTTGTTGACGGAAGAAATTTCTCATCGATAAACATCTTCATGATAATACGCTATCTTGAACATCTCTGCAGAGAGGAACTGTTCAATAAATTTTAATTTCGTTTAATTTTTAATAAGAGATTAAAAAAGAAAAAAAGAATTAAACTGCAATTAAATAAACGATTTTCCAATATACGGTTAAAGACCTAAAAGTTGGGAATATGTTTAGTTTTTAGCGGATTCTTCAGTAACGTTTCATCACTTTGCAAAAGCGCAACATATATGAAACATGACATGCAAGAAATAGATAAGCAAACCACGAACACAGGTGCAATTGCACGTTACCATGGATTCAGAGCTACTGTCTCTAAGGTTAAAGTACAAGGATCGATTTAATTAGCCGTTCAAGTAACGCACGTAACTGCCGTGTAACTATTTCATAATTAATATATTTTTTGTACAATTCCAACTTTAGAAGAATGTTAAATGCATTTCTATTAATCTTCTCTTTTTCTTTTTTTTTTTTTCTTTATTAATCAAGAATTATTAAACAAAATTTTTCAATATAATTGCATTTATGCAGCACGTCAGTTTCTTTCTGGCAAATGTTAATTTTCCATAGCAAGTGTTATTTCTCCATTGTGTGATAACGAAAACGCTATAAGTCTTACGCGATAAAAAACTAACTATATCGAGACACAATTGAAATAATGTACTGCCTATATAGAACTTTGATAAATTAGGCTATACATTAATCTGTTGATCGTACGATACGCAATCTCATTGTTAACCTCAGGTATAGAAGCGATGGCTGAAAATATTATATCGTTCTCGTATCAAATAAGTCGATGGTTCTCTTTTCCATCGCTGTGTTAATTATCGTCAATCAAGAATCTATTTATTTATATGTGTTTCAAATTGCTTGAATGTGTTTTACATTTATTGTCATAGCATTTTTTTTCTAAATCATCTTTTTAATCCCGTTAAAGAATGTACATTTATAAAATGAGTTTCATTGTGCAGAATGTTTGTTGTTTCTACTGAATCTAAATAAATTGTTTTATCATATATAATATTATTTTATTCATTTTATCAAGTATAATTTATTTAAATGAATTTTCTAAATTATAAATTATTAAATAGAAATTAAATGATAGAATATATATCCAATATAAATCAGTTGATTTAGTAAATAAATATATTTTATCATTATATTTAATATCTATTTAAGTAATATTTTTATTTTAAAAAAATTTTATATAATGATTAATATTTTCCCAACTGCGAAAGAAAGAAAAATTTATCGAATGTCTAGATATTAACAGATCGCGATTATACATATTTACTTCAAAATGTAGAAATAGTGATAGTGATTATAAAAATTGTGATAAAAGTTTGATTTACTCCAACTTATAGAGATTGAATTATTCTGAATTCCAGTTACAAAGATTACATTACATTTATTTACTAAATATCTAATTTATACTGATGAAAAATCAGTATAACACAACGTGATAAATTGCACCAAAAAATCAATTCTTGAAATACTGCATATTTTAAAATATAATATATTATAAAATATCACGTATTCGCGTATGACATAAAATGATTAAAGTTCATTTTACTTCGTATCAATTCATAATCCAGTTCTATTAGTATTTTAATTCTTCTTTTTACGATTTATTAAATCTTTTCCAACTTTTTTAAAATTTCATTTGTATGAACGTTATTGTTTGAAAAAAAAAAAAAAGAGCACGTTAAAAACGTAAAATTTCGCGCGTATTGATGCACGTTAACCATTATGGCGCTCAGATAAGCATGCACCGCGAATTTTATCACGCGACACAACTAATATGCTTTTACAACGAAGATGATGGTATACATGTATATACAGCTAATCGTTCGACAGTTTCGTTAAGTAATCATAGGTAAATTCGTCCTTCGCCTATTATCTACCGATAGCGTACTCGTGTTTCATATTTTTTTTTTTTTTTTTTTTTTACTTATTCCGAGTTTGAAGCTATTTTAACTAAAACTAATATGTATATTTTAATATACATATTATATACTCAAAATTCTAGACTAGATTAATGTTTAAAATATTAAAAATATCATTATTGTATAAATATTTTAGCGAATTAAGATTTAATTTGTTAATGAAATTAAATATCTTTTACTTGAAATTTACTTTTCTTCGGAATTAATCTACGAAAGTTGTTCTTTTTCGATTAACGTATATTTTATCATCTATTTTATCAACGGAACATTCTATTTCGTAAATTTGAATAACTTTTTAAAGGAAATCAATCAGTTGTTTCAAAAATTTCGGAAAAAAAGTTAAACAGTTTATGTAGGATAGATGTGTGTGTATATAACAAATCTTCGCCTAAAAAATAAAAATCATAAAATCAATTGTTATAACTTTTTTTTTTCAATTTCTTCTCAATGTCTCTTTAAAATACAAGTTTATGTTAATTTATCTACATTTTCTTTTTCAAATTATTGCACGATCTTACAACAATTTGTCACAAAAACAAAACTATAATACCATAATTACACTAACAATAGATTCATATTTTCAAGATACAAATCGATGACATAATTGCGCAATTAAAAACTGAAAATCTTTGCCCAACACGGCACTATTCACGTTTCGAAATGCGTTTGTGGAAAATTATTTCGTAGGCTTATTTGCGCAGACCGACTCCATAATATTCTCAACAGCGAATTGTTACACGTGGCGAGCATCGTCCTCGGCAAATGGGCCGCGAGTCGTTTGCAACAGCCATTTTCAGACACCGAGAAACAGTAAACCCTATGAAAAATGTCGCCGTCTACAGACATGATTTGCATTCGTGCAAATAACACGGCAATTGTCTATAGTTTCAACTTATTATTACGAAGGATTTTTCGTAAGAGAGACACGTTAAGAGAATTGCGAAGAAAAATCGTAATTTGATTTTCGAAAAATTCAGAAGGAATTATAAATTGAAAAGTGAATATATCACGTAACGATAATCCAACTGGATTAATGAAAAATTATAGTTTTTAATATATTTTTGCATCGTTTTTGAAAAACTTGTAACGATCGAAAAGCATTAAAAATGAATCAAAGAGTTAACCAGCGATTTTTAATCGGAAAACTGTTTCTCAATTTAAACTAGACCAAGTTAAATTGTACCCCATTGGAAACTTGTTGCGTATCCTTTGCGCCACCCAACTCACCCGAATAGCTTAATCTCTATTACGAACAAAGTTGATCGTGAAAAATGATCATTAACGGTACAGCACGTTCCGATTAGATTTAAATATTGTTAAAAGCAAGTTTCAAAGAAACACTACATCATCACGAGTCGAAAGAGTAAATGTTGTCCCAGAGACATAGTCCGAGGAAACGTAATACACTGGTTGGCAACCGTCTCACAGTCTCGTGTGTCGCATTCGTTTTACAGCTAGTTAAACTTACCAGGAATCAACGATATGTAACATTGTAACGCGATTCTCATCGTAACAAATATTATTAATACACACCAGTAGCTCGACACGATATTAATCCTGTCACGATGTGTTTCGATTCGATTTTTTTTTTAATAGGCTCGATGGAAGTAACGCTTATCTCGGTTTCCACCGTGCGTGCACGTACACGCGATACACACATTCGTATTCACGCTCCAGATCCACGGGTTAGTGGGGAAATCCTTCGTCAATTAGATAAGTCACGACTTTAACACTTATAACATTTCCGTTCCATTCGACCGTCTATTTCAACACGATTTCTTATTTTAATCGATATCTTTAACACCAACCTGCAAGTTCTAAAATTTATCTGAACCGTACAGAAGTCTTCCATTGAGTGCCTATTTTAAAAATAATAAAACAGGAAAAACAAAGAATAAAAAAGAGAGAGAGAGAGAGACCTCTTACTTGCGCAATTCGTATTCATCCATCGGTGAATTATAAGGAACGTAGCCACCCCTAAAATGTTTCCTTCCCACTGGAACAACACACGAATATCCGGGGTGAAACGTGGGGGGGAAAAAAAAAAAAAAGTTTCGATGGTTGCAGCCGCGTAGACGCTCACGGCCGAGTAGGATAGCCGTCACGTGCTGGACGATCCGGCCACGTTCACCGTCCAACCGTCGAGAAGCGACTGTGCGTTCGCGGCTACTCCACCTCCTACCACCTAGCAACCCTCCTCGTGGAGAGGAGGGCACACGCACCAAGAGGCCACGTTCTACTGCTGACACACAAACGCTCGCGCCACAGCAAGCGAACGCAGATATCAAAGATATACGCGGTGTATACGTGATCCGTGCTGGTATAAGTATAAGGCTGATCCATGTTTCCACACCTATACAGGTATAGGGGTGAGCGCGCGCGCACCTAGCGTACACCTGAGCGCAGCCGGGCCTGTGCAAACGAAAAATGCATTACGAAAAACGAGTTGAGAGGAGAGAAACGAAAAGAAGTTCAGGTAGAAGAACGTATATGCACCGGTGTGTGCTGTAACAGTCCAACTTTGCTGTTGTAAACTCGCATTCGAGTGAGTCCATTTTCTGTAAGTATTTAAGTGAAGATAGTGGATGAATGAAGGGGAAAAAGGGACATCATTTGTTTGAGATATCACGTGATTGTAAATTATATATAGTATCAATCGATTGTTTTGATATTAAGGTTTTTTTTAGATTAGTCTTTTTTGGATTAATTTTATCATATAGGTTCATTCCTGCCCCTAAGTCAGTTAAACAATGGATTAATTTTTTTATTATTAATAATTGCACGATGCATGATACAGAAATAAATTCTATTTAAAGAAATTTAATTTTTATTATGTTAAATCGTTTGATGATAACTATAATTATAAACTTATAATTTTACTGATTCATTTCATTATAAATAGTTCTATCATGAATAATTGCTGATCCTTAAAATTACAGAAATAGATATATACTTGCTAACTTAAATATTAAATAAGAGATTCATAACAAAAATGTTATTCAATGTTATTTCTATCTCTATCTCATAATTTCATAATTTAATTAAATCGTTCAAATTTAATTTTTTCTTTTATAAAATAATTGCAAAAATAAAACTGAAATAAAAAAGATTGTTTCATTCTTTAAATGTAATTCTAAACTATACTTTGCTTTTGCTTATATTCTCTTAAAATTTCCTACAGATTATTTGTTAATCCTTGAGTCTGCAACATTCAAATGATACATATAAATTATTCGCACCATCGAAATGATTAATTAATTTTCCCGCTCTCCTTGAAAAGTACAAGAATTGTCGAGGGTCATTTCCATCACGAAACGGAACCTTTCCTATTATATTCTTATTCTAGTACATTTATCGTCACTTTGTCCATCGCTAATACGTTCGTCGATGCACTCGATAATATATTCAGTTCGCACGTGCACATACCACGCACGATGCAGTTCTATTAGTCTGCTTACCGATGACAAACGCAAGTGCATCCGAACGATTGCTGCACGCACAAAGCGTGTCGTAAACGCTGTCGTGTTTGCACGCAAGCGATCGCATACGGCTCTCTCTATGCACCATGATGACGATCCTCGAGGACATCGTGCCATATGCTCTGTCCTATCCGTTGCTCAGTTACAGTGTGTGCAAATTCACTGTGGGATAGTGAAAATGTACGCACAATACGATAATGAAAATGTTGATATTTTCAATTAGAAATTGATTTCGATGTCGTTTTGATAATTTATAAATATTCGGAAGAATACTAAAAGAATAAAGAATTAAGTTAATTTCTAATTGAAGGTTTTGCAATAAGAGAAGAGGACAGATCCGTTTTTGTAACAATTTTAGGGAAATTAGAAGAAGAATCTGTTTTATGAAGTTGTTTTTGAGATTAAAAAGAATAATTAAAGAAATATATTTTTTTCACATAATAGTTATGGGATTGATAATTTCTTGTTTCAATTATTAACGAATTTTTCGAATTTGAAACATAAAATTAACAAGAAAGAAATTTTTTTGTCAAAAACTTATAATTGTTTTGAAGTGTTGAATAGTTCATATTGAGAAAATAAAAAAATATTTATTACTTGTGAATGCTCGTGAAACAGGAGCTTTAGTCTGGAGAGTAGGGATTGTGAATAATGAGCGTGTCAAGAGTCAATTTACTTGCTTACAACCTCGTTAATTTTTTAATTGAATGAATTCTTGAACAAATGCTTTTTCATTTGACAAGCAAAAAATTAAAACAAAGAGAAGTTCGAATGTTTATCATATTGTTGTTATTCTTTAAAGATGTAAATATAAATACATCAAAAAATAAAAAATTTCTAGATGATTAAATTAATGCTTCCGATGAATATTTAAAAAAAAATATATTATTTTATCAAAAAAAAAAAAAAAAAGACCTCTTCCTGCATCATTATTACATCAAGCATTTAAATTGATTTTTGTATTAAAAATGTATTAAAAATTTCTTTCTCTTCCTTTGAAACAATTTGTCCAATTTCATGTATATGATATAATTCATAAAAATAAAATCTCTGAAAATTACTGAGATCTTTATAAATCATCATTCTACAGATAATTCAATAAAATATTTTTTTTTGTAAAATATATATATAAAATAACTATAATTGTAATTAATAAATATATATAATTGATCGTTCGATTAATTTATCTATCTCATTAATACATTAAAGAAACATTACTAATAATGAATATTTAAAGACTTTTAATTTTAAGATATTTAAAATATTTACAATTAGTGAAAGTCATTATTTCACAATTACTAAAATATTTTTGAGCACACGAAAAAAATAAAATTTTGTGATTTCATGAAATCATGAAATACAAATCGTATTTTGATAAATGTAAACAATCTACATTTCTTTACGAAACATTCAAAAAAGAATATGATCTTTGAGAAGAACGAGAGAAGAATTGTATGAAAATATTCTTCCACAAAATAAATTTCACAAATGCATTATTATCTTTTCAAATAGAATTTCTGCATTCCATAAATTCATTATAAAAAAAGATTATATACATTGAATTACATTATATTTTGATAATATTTTTACTAATATTTGTATTTTATAAAAATTCTCTCATTTCTCACAAATATAATTTTAATTTATGGAACTTTAATTACTACCTAAATCAAATTTGTAGAAATTTGTAGATTTCAGAAATTTTATTAATTCACGAGTATTTACATATATCATTTATTTTTTATAAAGTTTGACAAATTGTTTCAAATGAAGAGATAAGAATAGATACATTACTAGAAGATTAATTGAAGATATAAAAGTGATATAGTGATAATATCTTCTATTTGTTTAATAAAACAATCTGTATGTTTTTTCAAATATTAAAACATTAAATGTTATATTTTATTTAAAGAAAAATAATGTATTTGTATCAATTTCTATCAAAATATTGTTATTATTATTAGAATACATTTGTACTATTTTTTTTTTAAATCTAAATATAAGTATCATTTTAAAAATATAATATACTTGACTTATTTTTCTACAGAAATATTGTCATTTCCATTAAATATTATCACACTAAGAAAATATTTGTAATACTTTTCTTTTATATTTATAAATATTATTTATCATTTATTTATATTGATCACAAAAATTATATTTGTATTTTCCATAAAAACACTAAAAATATTACATTATTTTTCCTTTATATAAATATTATATAACATTTATTATATTTAATAAAAAAAAAAAAACATTCACTTGTGAAACATTTTCATTAAATCTTCCAATTACAAATTCTTCACTGAATTATTCCACTTCACGAATTCAATATTCGTTAATTATACATACGCAACATTATAAAAAAAATAAAAATAAATAACACATTAAAATTTCGAGTTAAAATCGTCACACGTAACAGGAAATAGTCCAGTGTTCTTGCAGCGCGAGTCCGGACGCGTCGACGAAATTTCCGGAGTGCATAAAGATTCGTTTAAAAAAAACGTCTGACAAAACGTATCGTTTAAACGGAGAAACATCGCAGACGTGGTCATGAATAATGTAATTAGGCTGGGCAGCCGCCTTTTCCATTTGAACATGTTTGTGCACGAATGTACAACGCGTCACTGTTAACGACAGGACATTTTTATCGGCCCTCATGTGAACGGGTGCTGCGGGCGCAGCTGAAGGAAACCAGAGTGGAAAAGGTACATTACCGGTGACATTATGATAATCGAGGGATTGCCCCTCTTTTCGATTTCTTCTCCCCCACTGGAGGAGTCACTGCCATATTTTTTCCCCTGTTTTTTCGTGGCTACGAAGGCCCACCTACGAGGAATTCCCCCCCCTTTTTTTTTTTTTCAACGGAAGAACTCTGTTTGACAACTTGAGACGAGTTTCGTGGTTTGGAAACTAATCTAACCTGACACGTCATTCGCGATATCAAACGTTTGGACGTTTTAAAAAATCGTTGAGAAACGTATGTATACAAATCGTGTTTGACGAGTTTCAAGATTTTGGATAATTTGTTAATTTTTATATTCGAAAATATAGAAGAGAGTTGGAAGTGAAAAACGTATCATGATCTTTTTTTGTGTTCGATAAATGAATAGAGTTGGTGATAAAAGTTGTATTTCAATAGAAATATTCTTGAATTTTTTTAAAACAAACGTATCGATAAGACGTGTATCGATAAGATTTGAAGAAAACCTGATTTTATACACGGTAAGAAATAGTTTTGATAAGATTTATGGAAAATTAAAATTATCTATTATTATTATTATTATGTTGAAATAGTTATTCATCGTGTAAAATGATATTATACTATAATTATTACGAATTATAAAATTTTTTGGTTGATCGTTATTAATAATTCGTTAATTTATTTTTTGATATTTTTAAAACAATATTACATAATTTATTCGAAGATTAGATTTGTTTAAGTCAACATCCGTTGAAAATCCACTATTCGTTTTATAATAAAAAAAAATATATATATATTTCATTATCTTTAAATTATGTAATAAATATTATTTAGCAAAACATTTTCAATCATCAATAAATTTATTATTTAAATTGATCTCATGTACGTTGAATCATCAATTTATTTCCACTATCACAATTGTTGCTTACAGGAAATGTTTCATAACCACTTTATCAGATTTTCTTCGAATTTTAGCGATATTAATCCCGATAGTCAACACTCTCTCGGCCAAAGCAATCTTTCGTTCAACTTGCTAAAATTTTCGATAATGAACTATTGATTCCATCGTTCGATTAAAAATAAAAGAAACGAAGCGATTCGATATCGTATATTTTGTTTTCGAATGAAATTTCATGATATTAGTCGGTATTATTAAAAGCGATATTAAAATAACGTTCAAAGAGATAGCGTA